TGACTCCAGCAGGTGGGTGTGGTGAGTCCAGCAGGTGAGTGTGGTGACTCCAGCAGGTGGGTGTGGTGAGTCCAGCAGGTGAGTGTGGTGACTCCAGCAGGTGAGTGTGGTGAGTCCAGCAGGTGAGTGTGATGAGTCTAGAAGGTGAGTCCAGCAGGTGAGTGTGGTGAGTCCAGCAGGTGGGTGCAGTGAGTCCAGCAGGTGGGTGTGGTGAGTCCAGCAGGTGAGTGTGGTGAGTCCAGCAGGTGAGTGTGGGGAGTCCAGTTGGTGAGTCCAGCAGGTGAGTGTTGTGAGTCCAGTTGGTGAGTCCAGCAGGTGAGTCCAGCAGGTGGGTGTGGTGAGTCCAGCAGGTGAGTGTGGTGAGTCCAGCAGGTGAGTGTGGGGAGTCCAGCAGGTGAGTCCAGCAGGTGAGTGTTGTGAGTCCAGTTGGTGAGTCCAGCAGGTGAGTGTTGTGAGTCCAGTTGGTGAGTCCAGCAGGTGAGTCCAGCAGGTGAGTGTTGTGAGTCCAGTTGGTGAGTCCAGCAGGTGAGTCCAGCAGGTGAGTGTGGTGAGTCCAGCTAGTGAGTGTGGTGAGTCCAGCAGGAGAGTGTGGTGAGTCCAGCAGGTGAGTCCAGCAGGTGAGTGTGGTGAGTCCAGCAGGTGAGTGTGGTGAGTCCAGCAGGTGAGTCCAGCAGGTGAGTCCAGCAGGTGAGTGTGGTGAGTCGAGCAGGTGAGTGTGGTGAGTCCAGCAGGTGAGTGTGGTAATCCAGCTGGTGAGTGTGGTGAATTCAGCAGGTGAGTGTGGTGAGTCCAGCTGGTGAGTCCAGCAGGTGAGTGTGGTGAGTCCAGCTAGTGAGTGAGGTTAGTTCAGCTGGTGAGTGTGGTGAGTCCAGCAGGTGAGTGTGGTGAGTCCAGCAGGTGAGTGTGGTGAGTCCAGCAGGTGAGCGTGGTGAGTCCAGCAGGTGAGTGTGGTGAGTCCAGCTGGTGAGTCCAGCAGGTGAGTGTGGTGAGTCCAGCTGGTGAGTGCGATGAGTCCAGCAGGTGAGTGTGGTGAGTCCAGCTGGTGAGTCCAGCAGGTGAGTGTGGTGAGTCCAGCTGGTGAGTGTGGTGAGTCCAGCTGGTGAGTGTGATGAGTCCAGCAGGTGAGTGTGGTGAGTCCAGCAGGTGAGTCCAGCAGGTGAGTGTGGTGAGTCCAGCAGGTGAGTCCAGCAGGTGAGTGTGGTGAGTCCAGCAGGTGAGTGTGGTGAGTCCAGCTGGTGAGTGTGGTGAGTCCAGCAGGTGAGTGTGGTGAGTCCAGCTGGTGAGTCCAGCAGGTGAGTGTGGTGAGTCCAGCTGGTGAGTCCAGCAGGTGAGTGTGGTGAGTCCATCTGGTGAGTGTGGTGAGTCCAGCAGGAGAGTGTGGTGAGTCCAGCTGGTGAGTCCAGCAGGTGAGTTTGGTGAGTCCAGCTGGTGAGTGTGGTGAGTCCAGCAGGTGAGTGTGGTGACTCCAGCTGGTGAGTGTGGTGAGTCCAGCAGGTCAGTGTGGTGAGTCCAGCTGGTGAGTGTAGTGAGTCCAGCAGGTGAGTGTGGTGAGTCCAGCAGGTGAGTGTAGTGAGTCCAGCAGGTGAGTGT